GGGAAAACCAAGGCCTCTGGATGCTGGCAAAGCACCCTCTGCACTGCTCGGCCGCACTCGCCGCGCCTGGAGCTATGTGAGCCCTGCTCTCCGGGGTCTCTTGTGGGGGCCTCTCTTGGGGCTCTCGAGGCCAGGGGCCTGCAGGCTGCTCTGGGCTCAAGTTCAAATCGCCCTGACTGGCTTGCAGGACCTGTTATCTGGTGACAGGCAGATAACAGGGTGGGGCGGGGGACCACGTGCGGAGCAAACGGCAGACACAGGGTGGGCGTGTGCGAGGTGGCGGGCTCCGTGCCAGCTGTGCTGTGCGGAGACAGGGCAGGAACATGGGCCTCGTACAGACAGTGCTGCGCGCGGCACAGAAGGTCGCAGCAACACAGGGCAAAGGGCGGCTTCGGCAGGGGGATGGTCGCCAAGCAGGCTTCTCGGAGGAGGTGACCGTTGACAGAGCCCTCAGGCCATGGTCACCAGGTCCTAAATAAGACCCCACTGTCAGGCCCTGTCCCCGAACTCCTCACTCTCACGGCAGGACCGGCGGAGCTGGGCACCTGCCCCGCTTTGCACACATGGCGGCTCAGGCAGGCGCATCTCCTCGAGGCTGCGGTATGAGTAAAAGGTGGAGCAAGGATGTGAACCCAGTTCAGCTGGACTCGAAGTCCCAGGCGCTGCCTGCTCATCTCACGAGGGACAGCGGCAGGGTGTCGGCGAGGCGGTGCTGCGCCCGCGTGCCCGCAAGTGCTGCGCGTTTATGGGCCCATCTCCCCGCACACCTGCAGCGGTGAGCTCAGGGGCGGGCCCTGCCCGGGTCACTTCATCCCACAGCCGCTGTCCACGCAGAGCAGATGTCCTTTATGGACCGACTCCAGCCACGTATGGCACTTTGCAGTGAGACGCCCAGGGCAGGTCACACGGGGCCTGAGGCTCCAAGTCCGGGTTCTGGACTGCATAAGAGACACGTGTGTCCCAGCCCTGGAGCCTAAACCAGCCGGGGAGGGAGCAGTGTGTGCCGACGAGGAGGGCGTCTGTCTCTTGACGGGCGGGGCGGGGAGGCGGCGTGGCTGGTGGGTGGCTGGCTCGGCCACCAGAACTGGAGACAGGCATCTGACCATGTCGACCTGGGGCCTGCCCACAGCCAGTCTGTAAACTTTGGCCAGTGACAGGTTAATTATCAAAGGGGTACAGTGTCTATGACAGCAGCAGTTTCTAGGACTGCAGAAGGTTCCAGATCCTGCAGACCTCGAGTGAGTGCATAGCTTTACCCCCGCCCCCACCACAGTACCAGCCGTGGGTTAGCATGCTTTACTTCTCACTTGTTATAATCCGATGGGGTCACGCCCCCGTGTAAAACCCCCCATGGCGGGCTTCCCACAGCCCTTAGAGCAAAAGCCAGACTTCCGCCAGCCACAGGTCTGCCTGGCCGGGGCCCTGCCACCTCTGCCCATCTTGTACCATTTCCACACTCTTTCCCCTTGAACGTGGGCCCTCGTCGTCACAGGTTTCTGCACATGCTACTGCCACCCCCTTGGAGCCGTGGGGCCAGGACAGGCCCACGGATTCTGGTCCTTAACACCAGGCTCTGGGTCTGCCGGAGAGGCTGAGGTCCCAGGCCAGCACACAGCCCCTGCGCCAGACGGCCGGCCCGGGGGTGCCCCGGGGCAGGTGCCGGTGGCAGCGTGGACTTGGACCGAGAGGGGTCTCACTCCCTCTTGGAGACCGTGGCCAAGCGCTGTCATTCCCAGCCCTCAGTCTCCCCATCTGTAAAATGAGGGTAAACCCAGCTGCCTTGCGGGGTTGTCGTTGTGAGTTCTGTGCTTTAATGTGACAATACGTTGTTACCTAGGCCCATGAGGTTTCGCTGTCAGTACCAGGGTGGCAGCCACGCAGGTGCCCACGGTTGGCCCTCACCGAGGTCCAGTCTTGGGCCACCAAGCAGCTCCCTCCTCACTGTCATTGAGCTTTCTCACCCCACATCCCCACCTGTCCTGAGGGCATGTCCAGGAACTCAGAGGCCACTGTCCTGGCGATGTCAGCCCGGAAGCACAAACTCCGATGCCACAGGAGGCTTCGCGGATCAGCAAAGGGCGAGCCAGTGACCCCCGGAGGCCTCGGATGGTTCCTGGAAAAGGGCTTACCTAAGCCGCAGGGTAAACAGACCCAGCCTGGACCCCAGACCCGGGGGAGAAGCGTCGCCCTGGCAGGGTTGGGGCAAGCACACATTCTCTCCAAACACAGATGACCGACATCACCTGCTCCCGCTGGTCAGGGTCCGACCCACTGTCCGGTACCAAGTGGCAGACCCACCACTTCAGGTGGCCGCCTCCAGCTCCGCCTTCCCCTCCTCGGCATGGCCCAGCTTCCCGACTCTCTCCCCAGGGCCTCGGGAGGGCCTCACTGCTCTTGGCCACTCGAGAGAGTGGCTGACTGGGGCAGCCACGGGCCTTCCAGACCTGCCTTCCATCCTGGGCCTGCCACTGGCCCGCGTCGCCTGGTACAGCTGGCCCCGCTGTGCTTCTGTTTCCCTCTCGTATCGTGGCACAATGTCACCACCAATTAGGACATCTTCAAGATCAGAAAACGTGAAAGGGACCAGCAACAGCATCAGCACCAAACCCAGGGGGGCTGTGAACCCGGGCGCACGCGCTCTCCGAAGGGCCGCTCAGGCCTTGCTCAGAGATGTTTTCAAGAGCACGGACTTGTCCTCAGAGTTACAGATTTCTACTCAGTCCCCACACAGGTGGTGTCTGTTCTGTTGTGTCACCCACGCCCCGTCAGCACGGAAGGAGGGCAGGAGAGAGCGACGGAGGGACTTCCTGGAGCTGGGGGTGCGGTGGAGGGACCCCTAGTGACAGTTTCTCCCGTGCTGGGTGCCTGACAAGGCCTTCGTGGCAAACAAGTTAGTTTCATCTCTCTCATCTGAACGTGGACTCCCTCAAAACCCTGCCGTCCTCTGGGGCCGCAGACGTGGGGCTGTTTCTGGCTGGGATCCTCCCATGAGAAAAGTCCTGAACTTGCTCCCACGTGCAGGACACTGGCTGAGAGCATTTGGTCAAAAGTGACATCTCTTTATACATGGATGAAAAACAAGTTTTCTCTCCCTAAAACCATGGGAGCCCCAAGAACCCAAGAGTGTCATTTTTCTGTGTCTGCTGAGCACACAACTACTCCGTTGGGCCTCTGTGTCCTTTGTCCTCGTTCATAACAGTGTTTGCCGGGCCTCTGCAGCTGCTTGGTGGCACTGGGTTTATGACAGACCCCTGCAGTGTCGACACACCCGTGTTTGGACTCTTGGTCCTTGAGAGCCTGGGAAGGGGGGTGCCAGGGAATGTGTCTCGGCCTGGATGCCCTCTGAGGGTGACGACCACCGCTCTGCTGGGGCAGCGCTGGCCGCTTCCCTCGCTGCTGGAGCCCTGACACCTAGCGGGTAGGACACTAGCTGGATAAACAGACAATGCGCGTACAGGTCCGCTGTCACTCGGAAGCAGTACAAACGTTAGTGACCGCCAGCTAGCATGTGCAGTAACACGTGGGCCTGCCTGCGTGCGAGTGGGCGTCTGGGGGAGGGGCAAAGTTCACGACAGGTAGGGGCAATCAGTGAGGGCGAGTTTGAGAGAAGTTTGTGGAAGAGCCAGGTGCGGCTGCTCTCCAGTTCCCTGCGTAATGCGGGGTTTGTGCTGAAACTGCGTGTCCTTGCCAAAGCTGCTCCTCAGCGCTCGCTGCCACAAATAGCACAGAGGCCGCGGGAGGGCAGGGAGGGGCTGGCATCGCACACGGTTCCTTCGCAAGGGCCGGGCGCCCTGGTAAGCTGGCACCGCCGGGCTTTGCGCATTCCGTGCGCGGAGCTCATTCCGCGCGGGGAGGTCCGGTGTCCGCGCGCGGCCAAGCAAAGCCGCTTTGCAGCTCTCCCCTGCTCCCCGCCACTGGCTGCTGGGCCGCGACCTCCCCCTGCTCTGGCAGAGTCCCAGCGCCTTGCGTGGGCACAAAGCCCCGCAGCCCCAGCGCACCGCGGGGCGCGGGCACCGAGCTCGGGCAGCTGGTGGTGGGGCGGGAAGGGTTTCGGCGCTGCCGGCGCCTCCCCGCGCGCGTCTCGGTTGCCCTTCACCCTTCTCGTCACCCCCGCCCGCCACACCCGCCCTGGCACCTCTGCCACCTGTTGACGCGTCCTCCCGGCTCGCGTCCCCTTCCTCCTTATTTTGCATCCTGGGGTAACAGGGACAAGGTCCTTCGCCGCCCGCCCATCCCACGCACTTCCGAGACTCGAGGGTACCCAGTCCTTGGTCCCGGGTCTAGATCGGCTCATCGTACCGACCGGCAGAGCCGGGCTCGCCGAGGGGGGAGGGGCCCCGCCAGCGTGGCACGGACGCGGGCGGGAACCTGCACCCGGCCCGCGGCCTCGCGCCCGCTCCCGCCTCGAATTCAGCCCCCAGGTGCGCGGGGCTGGACGCACACAGAGGCCGGGCCGCAAGCGGCGCCGCACCGCCCGTCGGGTGACCTTGGGCCGTCGCTCCGCCTCAGTTTCCCCCGGTGCAGCGGCAGCGGGACACCAAGTGGGAACCACCGAGAGCTGCCCGCGGGTTGCCGCGGCCCTGCCCCCGCCCCCGCGAGCAGCCAACCGGGCGCTGCCGTCCGGGGGGTGTGTCCCGGGGCGGGGCTTCCGGGTCGGTCACCGGCGCAAGCTGTCCGCGCGGCGCGACCGGGGCGGGCCGAGGGGCGGTGCGCGTCGCCGGGGCGCGGCTGGCACGGGCGCGCGGAAGCGGCGCCGGGCATGGGCCAGGGACGCGGCGGCCCCGCGGCGGGGGCAGCGGGCGGCGGGGGCGGAGACGGCCGCTAGTGCCCTGCCCGGCGCCGCTTCCTCCGGCGCGCTCGCCCCACGGACCAGCAGGCGGCGGACCGCAGTCCCAGGTGCCCGGGGGCGGGCAGGCACGCGCGGGGATCCGCGGGCTGGGCCTCCCGGGTCCCGGGAGCGAGAGGGCGGCGGACGGGGGAGGGACAGGGGCCAGCCGGCGCATGCGCGGGGCCCGGGGGCCTGGGGGCCCTGGAGCCCGGGGTTGGTGACCCGGGGCTCAGGGCGAGGACACACACGGAGCTCTCGTGTCGGGGATCCCGGGGCCCAGCGGGCCGCCTCCTGCTCGGCCTCCTCTCAAGCGCTGGGGGCCTGCCTGGAACCCCGGTCACGGCCGTCGGTAGCGTAGGGGCTGCGCAGAGGTCCGGGCCAGGCACTGTAGCGACGCGGGGTCCTCCCGTTGTCGCCCGGAGGGAAGGCCCACGGGCCGGGACATCGAGGCGCGCGCTTCCCTTGCACGGTGAAGTTTGGGCGTCACGAACTCGGAGGGTTTTTCCCGAGACACCAGGGATCCCCGGGGCGAGGTAACCCAAGACCCCGACAGACCGCCCCGGGGGTGAGTGCGCCCGGCTGCGGCCGCGGGTGGGAGAAACTCACGTGAGTGTTAGTGCCACCAGCTGCGGACCGCCTTTGAGGGACGGTCCCCACTTCGCGCCCAAGCTCAGTGGGGCGGCCCCGGGCAGGCTCCGCTGGGTCGGTGGCATCTCTGCAGAAGCCACACGACGTCCCTCTGGAGCCCGGGCCACTCCGGTCCCTCACCCGCCTTCTCGGTGTCCGGGTCTCCACCGAGTCCCTGGGCGTGCGGCCCGCGTGGGGCGGGTGGGACTGGAGGGGCAGGGCGCCGCTAGTGGAAGTCGGAGGGTCGAGTCAGCGCCCACGCCCACCCGAGAATGACAGCGGGCAACTGCGCGCCGCCCGTGCTCCGAATGTCAGGATTCTTTCTAAGAAAAATCCGTGATTGTATAATGTCCTGGGCTTCGCGGGACCTTCGGGATGCGCACCCCGCTCAACCCCAGCCAGCCCCTGCCCCCGCCCCACACTGACACCAGGGAGGCCCCTCCTCTCCCAGGGCTGCTCGGGAAGGGCGCGCTGGAGGCCTGGCAGGGGGAGGAGGGGCACAGTTTTCCTGGGGAGGACCCTGAGACAGCGTTGTCGTTGCTCGAGGCAGGGTCAGGGTGACTTTCCTCTTCCAAGGTGGTGGAGAGTTGGGGGCGATCCAGAGAACACATGGTAATCATTTCCTCTTTACCTCCTCACTGCCAAGGCTGCAGCTAAGGGCCCTGCCTTCTCCGCCAAGTGACAGTCTGTGACAAGCTCAGAACAAGAAGTCGTCACCACAGGTAAGTAGAAGGTTTGCTTTACTGATATTTCCAGAAATTATTACTTTGTGATGCAATGCTAAATACATTTTTGGTGCTTCAAAAGTAAGATCAAAGTAGATAGAGTCACTTTTAAGTTCTGAGTTTTTGTGTGGGTTTCACTAGGAACCTCATGTCTTTATGGTGGGCTGGTTTCATGTAATTTAAAACTTGATAATGTAACTTGGAGAAATGTTGTTACTTAACGGACACGTGTTACAGACGTTGACTAGTGAGAGCAGCGTGCCGTCTGAGCTCTCTCAGTGTGCGAGAACAGTATGCAGACGGCTCGATGAGGTAGGTCAGTTCCAGGGCAGGGAGCGCCCCAAGAAATGGGCCAATGACACAGATGTTTGTGGTCACGGTTTGTGAAAGACCAGAGACAGTGGGCCTGATGCAAAAGTGACATTAAATGACAGTAGAAGAAAAGTTTTCTCTTTCTTTTTCCACATCTTAAACATATACGTAATAAGAGACATGCTAATCGGCCAATACCGCGGTGCTTTTCACTGGCTGGTGTTCGTCAAACTTGTAAACAGTTTTAAAAATCGTATGTGTGTGAGAGAGAATGAGAGGAAACATGTTTCTTCTATATTCATTATTTTGTAACTTGCTTT